GTATTAAGACATTTTAAATCAGGAAAAATATCTTAGTTCAGAAAAAAAGTATGACATTGACTATGTATAACAGGATACATTATATTTCTGCGAAGAAAGCATGTTTCATAATGGATATTTTGCGTTCAAGATGATTTCAGAGTTATGTTTAAATCTGGTGTGACGCAGCAAATTTTGTAGTCTCTCGCGTGGGCATTAATTTCATTTTACATATCACTTTCCAAATAATTACTTTACAACTGCGTAGCACCGCATGTAATCCTATATTACTGTCTAGTACAAGTTTCAATGAGGAAGTTTCAACGCAGGTTTTAAAAAAATTAATAGGGGACCAGAAGACGCCAGATATAGTAAATTAATAGGGGGTCCAAAACATGCTTTACGTTGTACAACTTAGGGAAATCAGAGTCACCATATGTTTAAATCAATACGGATACCAGAGGCCACCTTATATTGAGTTGATAGGGAGACCAGAATACACCTAAAATTTTACATAAATAGGAAGACCAGAGGTTTCCCTTATGTGGTCACCCGATAGCTCAGGTGACTTATTGCTATCTTTTTTGTCCTTCGTACTGCATCGTGCATCGTGCGCTGTGCATTGTGCCTTAATTTTTGAGCGGGGGGAAAATTTTGAATATCATGGTCCCTGTCCCGTTTTGGTGGAAAATACTACAATTAATGCAATCTTTAAAAGTGCACACAAAGCAGTCGAACTGATGGCATAAATGTTATAAGCATTGACTCATCTACTAAGATTGTGAAATCCATAGGCCCAGGGTCAGGTGTTCTTACAGGGTTAAAAAAATGTATAAATGTATTCATTCTTTGAAAATCATTGTGAAACCCGAGGGAGACTCACGTCATTTAATAGAAGCATTTCACCCAAATGACCAATTCAAATACATATTTATGCATGAATAAAATGCTGCACTTGTCTCCATTCTTTTCCTGAGAAAAACCTCTCTATCCTCTTGCACCAACTAATCTTCATTTTTCACATATATTTCAAAACACTTTCCATCTTTCCACAGGACGTTCCAATTTATGTAGCAATGTAAAGAACAGTACGACAGCCAACAGTCCATTAACGCTTTCAATATATATACAATGTATCTAGGGGGATAAACCCTTAAAACAGAGCCTCCAAAATCCAGCAACAACTTTATTCAACGTCTTTCGAAGTTTGATAGTTCTAATTTCTTATGCCACTGGAAAACCAGTAACTAGGTGCATATTTCCCCATCCTATGTCAATAAAGCAAGCGTTTAAGATAGAGTGATTCTCGGATTTTCACAATTCTTATGACGCGACCAAAATTGATGCTATTTATATAGCAACTTAAGATAAACAATAAATTATCAACTAATAGATAGTTTTCAGTAGACACAAATTATCAAAAGTTGTTTCCCTTAGGCCGCCATATTGTGGCTCAACATGCTCATATTCCTCCATAATTCAACCATGCAACTTTAACTTTTTATTCTGGCTATTGTGGGCTGGAAAGCATTTTTTTCTGACAATTATACATTTATTAAAGACTCCTTTATTTTATAATGTTTATTCCATAACGATTTCCCCCCAAATCTCTTATATTTGGTAGAACAAAGAGGGAAAATTACCTGGTTGACCAACAAGATGCATGGCGGCCAAAGAGAAATAAATCTTGTTAATATCGGTCATTACTGAAAACTATCTATAAATTAAATATCCAGGGAAATTTGTAAAACTATCAAAAAAGGTTTATAAAAGACCAAGCAATCGTATATAGTGACATATATCAAACTGGACAGTTTAATTTTCATTTCTAGTTTAAAGAATTAAAATGATTCTAAAGGCGTTAATGTCTCCTCTGTATTTCCAAACAACCGTTTCTATGGCAACTGCCATAGAGTAACTATCGTGACTACATATATAATAAATATTTAAAATGTTTTTTTTTTCTTCAAAATATTCAACAAATGTCCATATTCTAATTTGAAATTTTCAACCAATCACTTAAAAGTAATGAAAATATGAAAAAATTCCACGAACTTTTGGATCAACCCTCATACTCTGTTGCCATGTCAATAAAGTCCCTTCCGCTTTCACTTAAATGTAAACAAACACATGTCATGGTAAAAAAGCAAAGAAATAATATTTCAAATATTGTTCATATTCATTTTTTTTAAATAAATATATTCCTCTTATAACTATTTGATATAATATTTTGATCACTTTAATAGATCAAATATTTTGTTTGATATTGATAACATGTTTTTATTATCATCTTTTCAGGGAGAGAGAGAGAGAGAGAGAGAGGAAGAGAGAGAGAGAGAGAGATAAAGGGGGGAGAAAACTCCGTTAATCGCAAACTCATGGGGTGTAAAAGATTTCTTATAGTGTAATAGAATAAATCAATATCCACGTCTGCTGTTTTCTGTAGTTGAACCAGTTGTTCTAATCCATATTGTTTTTGACATCTAAAAGTGCAGTTGTAAATTCGTTTTTGCAGCCTTATAATCCATGTTAGATTGAAATTCCATGCCAAGTGATCTGTTCTATTCAATCCATACTGCTGTCTTTTCTTGATTGATAGCATGACGTTTATCTGAAGCCATATTGGAAGTAAGGTTATATAAAGTTATATTTCTATATTTCCAGTATGGCCTCCGAAACTTTAAAATATTAGATAATTGTTGGGTCACCTATATACTTATCACGTTTATCTAAATTTTCTCCTATCAAACTGGTTTCTACATTCTACAGTCCTTTCTGGATACGCTGTCTATATAAAACACATGGTTGTTTGTAATCTTATAACACAGGGGTCTATACCTCTCAGTTTATTCGATATGCTCTTCGTATAGAAAAAATTCTAAAACAAAATTAGTTATTGACAAACAAGTAGTTGAAACAAAAATATCAATAGTGTCGTTTGATATTATCATTATGTAATTTATTTTGTCAGTACAACGACCTTATCAGCAAATACAACCTATAATTAAGTCGAACGCTGACTTAAGTTGTTCCTCATACTTATTGTTAGGCCATTATTTACATATTGAATTATGGACAGCTTTGCCCATTATTTAATACAGCATGTATGACTGCACAGGTTACTTAGTCATCCATGGCAACTGATCCCTTATCTGATGTTTAAAATGTCCTTGTTTACTCTGCTCCTGATTTGTATTGTTTTTAGTTATCTTCTTTCTTCTTTCATATAATTAATGACATAAAAATATTTAACAGTAACAAATTATATACTACAAACATTTAAGAAATAAACAACGTTATTCAGAGAACATGGCGTTATGAATAGCAATTGCTCTGCTGGCATATTCCATGATGCGCGCTAGCGCATCATGGAAAATATGCCAGCAGAGCAGTTGCTATTCATAATGCCATGTTCACTGAATAATCGTTGTTTATTACTTATATTTGCATTCTTTGATTTTTTTTAAAGAATATCAGAGAAAATCCTGACTTACATGAGGACGCGGCTTCTTGTCTTCAGTAATGAAAAACATACGGCTTTAAAATCAGTACACCTGATCAATGATCCTTTACTCTAATAAATCACAAACAATTTATAAAGTATTCCCCTCTCAAACAGTTAACTGGATACAAGCAGCGCTGTAATCACATTCTCTTAGTTTTTGTTTTGATGCAGTTTTGACGCCATCGATCAACGTTATTGAAACCCTCTGAAAAAAATCAATAATTTAACACTGTGATGAAAAATGAAGATGCTTTTATAATGATTATTATTCCAGAATGCTTTTCTATGAATTTTTTTTAGCTTTTCATATTTATTTTTAATAGCTGAAATCATTCTTGAAGTAGAAAATTTCCTCTTTCTGAGTGTTATTACCCAAGTGTGAAGAGTTATCTTTCTTTGTACAAATATATATGATATGAAAAATAAAAATATAGCAGTTATCTATAATTTTAAAAAGTTTTATTATACAATTAAATACAATGACCAAAATTGAATTTTTAAGGTATAAATCAGCACTTTTAAATGTTCTGATTTTTTTTTTTAAAGAATATTATTAAAAACTTATTTTTATTCCTTTTATGAAACATTTCATATATATACTTCTCAACAAGGTATATAAGTGTAGTAGAATTTGTTCTACACGAAAGTGATAGAGCAATTGCACTCATACCAGAAGCAATTGCGTCTATAGTCCTATAAATGCAGTTGATGACTACATGTTCATAGCGGGAGAGAGCAGTGGATATGCAAATATAAACGAATGCCTGGCAGGTCAATACATTTTCCCAAGAGGTACTTTGATAATAAATAGGTGATCTTTGCTACATTTTTAGAATAACAAGATGAATTTAAATTAGATTAGAAGTCGATAAAAACAATGAGGTATTTTAGAATTGTTAAATTATGTCCTTGGGTTCAAATACATTATAAAGAATAGAAATTTTAATTTTTAATTTTCTTTTCTCTCATATTCATGTAAAGTAGATACATGTATGTGGCACATAGAGAATCCCATTATGTTTAAAGAAAGATTTTGAATCTACATTTTTAATCAGATTCTCCTGCACATATGCTTTGCTATTTATTATCAAATATTTTCTGAACGCATTATCGCACTGTAGAGTTACATTGTCTTTTAAATAAGTGTGTGTTATTATTAAACATAAAAACACTCTGTTCATATGTTTCTTATGCTATAATGTACATACTTATTCTGTTAGCAAATATTTCAGATCTTCTGCACCCTCATGCTCTTGTCCAGATATTTTAAGCACAAATGCTCATTTTTTGTATACTCAGAAAATACCCATGTTTGACCCTGTAAAAGTCTTAAATATAATGACATAGAATTCCCATATACCGGTATAAACTATTCTCAGAAATTAATTTTATTTTTTGCCTATACCAAGAAGCAGGCTCCTCTCTAATATGTGTATCCATTACTGTTCTAGAAAAGCATGTATCCATGTATGAGCTATATATTTTACCTTTCTTTTAAATTACACTTTTCTCTTGCAGGTATTTAATAGGAGTAATGTTGCAACAATTTTAGGATCCACATTGATGATTTATTCCAAATGCAAATGTAAGTACTTTTTATGAACGTATAATAAATATGCTAGAGGTATTGTGAGCAATGAGATCACTAAATGATACCCCTGCCTACCATGTGGTTATATATATAATGGCAAAGTCCATGTTTTGCTGTGGTCGGGAAACCCAAAATATGTGTTTGATAAAAAGTAAAAAAGGAGATGCACAATGGCACTAAGTTTTATTAAATTTTACTCAGTGGTATGAGAGGAGGTGCGGATAAGCGATGTGTACCCCAAAGCGTAACAGACAGACAGCTAGATGTACAGACGGACGGACATACCCATTGCTATATACCCTCCCGCTTTTCAAGCGGGGGATATAAAAATAAAGGTAAGTTTGTATTGTAATCCGTTTAATTTAAAAGGAATCCAGCAATAATTAGACCCCTGTTTGAAAAGTGGGAAGGTATAAAGTAATCGGTATGTCTGTCCATTCGTCCATTTGTCCGTCCGTCCGTCTGTCCGTCCGTTCGTCTGTTATGCTTTGGGGTACCCATCTCTTATCCGGAACTCCTCTCATACCACTGAAGGACATTTAATTAAACTTCCACAGAATCTTTATTACATTATTATTTTGATTTGACATACATTTTGGATTTTTAAGAGCAAAACATGGATACTGCCATTATATTCATATGGGAAGATGGGGGTACTATTTAGTGAGCTCATTTTTCACAGTACCTCTAGTTTAAAGTTGATTTCTTTTGGAAAAAATACAGAATTTAATGCCTTTCATGTAGAAAGACTGTATCAGATATAATTTAATTTTTTTTAGACCTTTTCCCTGGAAAATTATGAAACAAAAATATCGGGGCTGTTTGAAATACATTGTTGAGCCTTCATAAAATAAATTTTAATTCTATATTTCCGAGAAATGGGAAACAGCAGGGTATAGACAATAAAGATTGAAAATAATAAGAGGAAAAATCAGCATACAAATCCAATATACATTGAAGGCTGTTCATAGTCAGTGATATGTGTTATGTGTAGCTTTGGCAAATCTGCACTCCCAATAAAATCTAAGCAAAAGCAATAACCAAGCCACTAGATATATTTTCGTTTGTATGATGCGAGGTCATGAAGAATACTGTGGATATTTAATATTTAAACTTTTCATGTGAGTTTAATTAATTAATCAAACTAAATAATAAACTAAAAAAACTAATCAAAATGAATAAAGAAATCAAAAATTGAAATCAGATAAGCAATACAATTTTTCAATGTCTCTTTAAGAAACATATCTGCTTCACAAGTTTGACGTTCCCTGATAGCAAAAAATATAAAGTTTATTACATCGCTGAGCAGACTTCAATCATTTTATGATCCGGCATATGTGCGTTCCTCTGCCTGTTTGTCCTGTCACTTCATATCTTAGATATTCTATTTTCATCTAAAATGTTTCTTGTAAATTAAAACACCAAACATTAGGAAATCAGGATTGTTTTAATGACAAGATTTTTTCTACTACGGAATCATTAATGTTCATAGGCGAGAATATCAAGAATTACCTTTGACCATGAATTTATCTCTCAACCAAAAAAAAAATGACAACGAATCTTTCATAAACATATATGAGTTTCCCTCGAATGTAAGTTCAAGAAAACTTCCGGTTATGCAAGAACATTGTCTATCAGAAATAAAAATGAAATGATCTTCTATGAAGAAAAATATATATTAGGATGTTTATATTCAAAGATTTCTATAAGAGGCAAAAACTGGTCACCTGATTTACTTTTAATCGCCGATATATGGCTGAAATATTGCCGATTCGGCGTAAAACATTAATCAATCAATCAATCAATCTATAAGAGGTCTGTGATTTTTTAATATATATTTCAAGATAAAAATTAGTTTGTTACAAACACAATTTCTGTTCATAACTTTGAATGACTATCTTTCTTCACCCATGTTTGCTAAATCGTTGCTCATTTGGTGAAACTTATTAATATTTAATACCAATTTAGCACCTGTATGCAAAAATATTAGAATGTGACAATTTTATTACATTTATAGTATTTACAAGAGAATGAACAATGTCTACATTAAATTACCCTTCCACTGAGGAAACTACAAACGAAAATAGGGCCTGTCGGCTTCTCTTGGGACCTTGCACGGATAGTCTTCGTGACGTATTACGTCATCATGTTCCACCATCTTTGTTTTCGCACGTCATTCATCAACATAGTCTAAAACTGCCACGTTTAACTGCTACACAACGAAGTCTGATTTTGCCTCAAAAAGGCAGTTATGTCGGAAATTACGATGATATGGACATCTCTTTGCTTTACATATTACTTAGAAATATCTGCAACATACCTGCTCATTCCAAAGGTTGGAGTAATGATCCCAACTCATCTGATACATCGGTCTCGGCCAACATTGAAAGAATTCGTTTTGCAAGAAATGAAAGAGGACACTCGTCCAGTTCTTCACTCCCAAATTCCGAATTCAATATGTTTTGGAACAAAGTGAGATCAGCAGTGGTGGGAATTGATTCTTTTCTTAACAATGGAAATCATTTTGCAAATCAAGTTGATTTGCTGCGTTCTGAGACAATGGATCCTGTTAGTGACAAACATTATAAAGAGAAGCTCAAGCAACAGGCCGAAGAGGACCGAGAAACGAGGACAAGGGTAATTGATCTGGAAAAAAGATTTGAGAAAAGTAAACTTGTACTACAATATCATGATGAACATCTCAAACAACAGGCCGAAGAGGACCTAGAAACAAGGACGAGGGTACTTGATCTGGAAAGACGATTTGAGAAAAGTGAGCGTGTACAACAATATCATGATGAATATCTCAAACAACAGGCCAACGAGAATAAAGAAACAAGAAAAATGGTTGATGATTTTAAAAGTAAGCATCTCCTTGAAGACTTAACGTTCTGTATGTTACATTGTTATATTAATTTGATGACCTGTGCTTTGAAAAAATCTCATTTCGACCACAATTTATTAAAGATTTCATTACCGCACCACATATTAGAAATATTTCAAATACTAGTATTTATTTAAGCATTGAATTCATATTTTGGGATGTTTTCGGTCCTATAACACACCTGGCCGTGCCGACAAATTGAATACCGCGCGTTGCCTTCTTCTCTGCAACCACTCAACCAATTTCAAGCAAATTTGATATAAAGCATCTATGGGTGAAGGGGAACAAAAATTGTGAATTTCATTGTCCCTGTCCCCCTGGGGCCCAAAGGGTGCCCTAACAAAAAAATACTATAGTTAACTATAGTTAACTATAGATAACTATAGTTAACTATAGTTTACTATTGTTAACTATAGTGATAACTTTAAATTTTGACACTTTGAAAACTTTGATTTACTATAGTGATAACTTTGACACTTTGAAAAATTTTGACGAAAACTTTGACACTTTGAAAAACTTTGACGAAAACTTTGACACTTTTAATTGAAAAACTTTGGCGAAAACTTTGACACTTTGAAAAACTTTGGTGAAAACTTTGACACTTTGAAAAACTTTGGTGAAAACTTTGAAACTTTGAAAAACTTTGGTGAAAACTTTGACACTTTGAAAAACTTTGACGAAAACTTTGACATTTTGAAAAATTTTGGTGAAAACTTTGACACTTTGAAAAACTTTGGCGAAAACTTTGACACTTTGAAAAACTTTGGCGAAAACTTTGACACTTTGAAAAGCTTTGGCGAAAACTTTGACACTTTGAAAAACTTTGGCGAAAACTTTGACACTTTGAAAAACTTTGGCGAAAACTTTGACACTTTGAAAAGCTTTGGCGAAAACTTTGACACTTTGAAAAACTTTGGCGAAAACTTTGACACTTTGAAAAACTTTGGCAAAAACTTTGAAACTATGAAAAACTTTGGCGAAAACTTTGACACTTTGATTTACTATAGTTAACTATAGTATTTTTTTGTATTTTTTTGTTAGGGTGGGGCCAAAACCACTAAAATTAATGCAATCTTTAAAAATCTTCTTTTTTACTCCTGGACATCAAGCAGTCAAACTGTTAGCATGAATGTAATGACCATTGAGTCCTCTACCAAAATTGTGAAATTCATGGCCCCAGGGTCAGGGGTTCTAGTGCTAGGGCGGGACTCTATTGAGCATATAGTGAAAATGCATTATTTCTTTAAAAATCTTCTTCTCTGCTTCTAAGTATTAAATGAACTAACTAAGTACATATTTATGATGAGCAAGAATGCCTCTTCCAAAATTTTGAATTTTATGGCCCCAGGGACAGGGGTCTGGTGCTAGGGCGGGGCTCTATTGATTATATAGTGAAAATAAATTACACCTTTGAAAATCTTCTTCTCTGCTCCTGGGTATTAAATGAACTAACTAAGTTTAAAGTTATGATGTGCAAGAATGCCTATTCCAAATATGTGAATTTTATGGCCCCAGGGGCAGGGGTTCTAGTGCTAGGGCGGGGCTCTATTGATTAAATAGTGAAAATAAATTACACTTTGAAAATCTTCTTCTCTGCTCCTGGGTATTAAATGAACTAACTAAGTTTAAAGTTATGATGAGCAAGAATGCCTCTGCAGCACAGTTAAGGTTACAAATGGAAATATCGGCGATTTTTTAAGATAAAAAAACATACTTAATTAGGATGGGCGATTCTTTTTAGGAATTCACTGATATCAAAAAAATGTAATGTGGTTTAAATCTACATGTTATGGGCATTTAGATTTTTTATTTAGACTTCACATGTGATGTCGACGTCACACGACTTTGGCAATTATACTTGCAGTTTAGAGGTCATCTATAAAATTCAATATTGCAAGGGCATAACCAAGATAAAAATCTTAGTTTATTTTATAATCCTTTTCAACGCTATATGTAGTTTGTGAAAAGTGCTGCGAACCTATATAGATTCCTTTTTTTAATTGGTAAAATTTAATTTGTTGGACGGGAGATTGAATATTTTGCTAGTCAACTACATTAAATATAGTTATAATTAATTTATTTGCAAGATTTCAAGAGGTTCGCAGCATTTTTCAAATATCTTAATGCTTCTTGAGTTTATGTGTAAAATTTTGACAAGATACATTGAAGGTATGCCCTTCCAATAAATCGATTTATTTGGGCCCTTCCATTACTTTTTCAATGAATCTGCATACAAACACTAGACGGTATCGCTTGTCTGGAGAATACACGTACAGTTTATAAATAAAATACTAAAATGGACATCGCATCCAGGTTAACGGATTTTTATTTTACTGCAAATAAAATTTTATTCAAAAACAAAAGACTTTTTTCATTGTACAAAATGTGACTTGTTCAGTCTCTCACTACAAACTGCGTCATTTTTGCGAGATGACGTCACATTGACAAGTGCATTGCGATCGATGCATCGTTTATATACTGTTATGTTGGATTTAACAAACGCCAAAACTTTATGTAATAGTAAATTTGTATGTAGTATACAGCTATCCAGCTGTTTGAAATAGCAAATATTTTCATTTTGTGGTATTTTGAAGACCTTATATTATGTGTGACGTCATAGTTAACATTTCCCGTACAAATTAGGCCCCGTCTCCTTACTGTAACCTTAACTGTCCTGCGTCTTCCAAAATTGTGAATTGTATGGCCCCATCAGGGGTTCTGGTGTTAGGGTGGGGCTCTATTGATTATATAGTGAAAATAAATTACACCTTTGAAAATCTTCTTCTCTGCTCCTGGGTATTAAATAAACTAACTAAGTTTAAAGTTATGATGTGGAAGAATGCCTATTCCAAATATGTGAATTTTATGGCCCCAGGGTCAGGGGTTCTAGTGCTAGGGCGGGACTCTATTGAGCATATAGTGAAAATACATTACACGTTTGAAAATCTTCTCTGCTCCTGGGTATTAAATAAACTAACTAAGTTTAAAGTCATGATGTGCAAGAATGCCTTTTCCAAAATTGTGAATTGCATGGCCCAAGGGTCAGGGGTTTTGGTGTTAGGGTGGGGCTCTATTAATTATATAGTGAAAATACATTACATCTTTGTGAAAATCTTCTCTGCTCCTGGGTATTGAATTAATTAACTAAGTACATAGTTATGATGATCAAGATTGCCTCTTTCAAAATTGTGAATTTTATGACCTAAGGGTAAGGGGTGCTGGTGTTTGAAAAATTTTCTTCTCTGCTCATTGATATTAAGCAGATGAATATTTATATAGCTTAATGATGAGCAAGGGCCATTCTTCCTGAATTGTGAATTTCAAGGCCTGTTGGTCAGGGGTACCAAAGATGGGGGGGGGGGCTCTTCTTATAAACTGAAAATGAATTAAGTAATTGAAATCTGCTCCTTGGTTTTAATCAAACATTTTTGACAAGCAAGGGTGCATTTTCCAAAATTGTGAAATGTGTGGACCAAGGGTCAGGGGTTCTTGTTTGGTAGTGGCACTACTGATTATTGCTGAATATTACTGATTAGTCATTTTTGTTTGGTTCCACTACTCTGTCTAGGGGTATTAAGTTACCAAAATAAGCATGCTAAGTGTATAGTTATGATAAGCAATGGTGCATTGTGAATGCCATGACATCTACTTTAAAACATGCACCAAATTCAATGGCTGGAAAGTTGTTGTATGATGCTCAGGTGACTTATAAGGCCCATGAGCTTCTTGTTTATTTAGACTTGTCACATGATGTCGACGTCTCATATGTTTAGCAATTTTACTTGCAGTTTAGAGGTCATCTATACATTCCAATACTGCAAGGGCATAACTAAGTTGAAAATTTTAGTTTAATTGATAATCATTTTCAACACTATATGTAGTTTGTAAAAAGTGCTGCGAATCTATAATATATATTCCCTTTTTTAATTGCTAAAATTTAAATTGTTTGACTGCAGGTTGAATATTTTGCTGGTCAATTACATTAAATGTAACTATAATCAATTTAATTACAAGATTTCATGAAGTTCGCAGCACTTTTCAAATATCTTAATGCTTCTTGGGTTTGTGTGTAAAAACTTGACAAGATACATTGAGGGTATTCCCTGGCAATAAATCGATTGATTAGGGCCCTTGCATTACCTTTTCAATGAATCTGCATACAAACGCTAGACAGCATCACTTGTCTGGAGAATGTTCGGACAGTTTATATTAAATAAAATACTGTAATAGACATCGCATCCAAGTAAACGGCCTTTTATTTAATTGCAAATAATATTTTATTTGAGAAGAAAAGACATTTTTCATTATACAAAATGAGACTTGATCAGCCTCTCACTGTGTTCAGACTGCGTCATTTTTGCGAGATGACGTTACATTGACCAGTGCATTGCGATCGATGTATCTTTTATAAATTGTTGTGTGGAATTTTACAAACGACAAAACTGCATATAATAGTACGTTTGTATGTAGTATACAGCTATTCAGCTGTTTGAAATAGCAAATTAGTTCTTTTTGTGGTATTTTGAAGACCTTATATTATAAATGTGTGACGTCATAGTAAACATTTCCCGTACAAATTAAGCCCCGCCTCTTCGCTTGAACCTTAACAGTGCTGCGAGGGGAAAGTAGAGATCTGATGGTTCACGTGTATCACAGCTCTGTAGCACGCAGATTTTTTTGTCGCCCCCCCCCCCTCCCCCACACACACACATTAAAAGACGTTGCTATATATATATAGACCTCTATCAAACGGTATTGGATTGCTGAAATAAAAAAAAACTATTTTGCGATCCTTGATTCACAAAACTAGTGCCGGTTAAAGCTTGTTCTATCTTTTAAAATCTAGAACTAGTCATTGAATGACATTTTTCATTCGAGTTGTCAAGATACACGTGTCTATATACTGCTCTTTCTTCCTACTTTTTAAAATGCTTGTACCATAGATTCAAAGTTTAGTTTGTATATAAAAGTATAAGTGTAAGAGGGAAATTCGGATCCGCCAATGAATATGTAAATGTGATGTGCCGATTTAAAAGCGCGATTTGCCAAATAATGGCATATTCTATTTTGAATAGGGCGGATTATTCTACGGGCAAGTTATCTAAGGTGCGAACTCTCCAACCCCAGCATTCTCGCGCATGCGTAGCCTGTCGTTTTCCCATGGAATCCGGTTTAACCTCGCTTATATATTTACTGCGTGGACCTCAGAGTCCACGCAATAACTGTTTACAGTAAAAGAACAATGGTCGCTGCTGAGAATAATCTTACTATTTCATAAGTTTTTAAAATATTTGAAATCAAAAGCGGTGGTATCGCCTGTTTTAGGCATAGTTTATATAATTCCAAAGGCATTTTGGGTTAAAAAGGTAAGAGCCTTTTTTAGCTTAATTAGAGTATTCAAAACTTTATTTACATCGAAAGAAAATCTATTGTACATCTTGTGGTTGAAAAATATCCATATTGTTTATTATGTTATCTTTAACTTAGAAATATTCCAAAACAAGTAGCACCGTGACAAAAAAATGTAGACAAAATATCCCCTTGCTCTGTGATTTGGACCTTTAACCCCCAAATAACATTCACATAGAATTAAACAAATTTTCCTTTCAATAGGTTCATCTAGGAAAGATATGTGCAAATGTAAATAGTATATGTTGCATGTTTCCATTCATCTCAATCATATGAACTAAATCTTTGTGGTTGGAAAACTTTTTCTCTGTAGTGCATGCCAATTAGCTTAGGGTGAATTCACCATCAATCGGACACCCTTGTACTTCAACAAGTTCTACCGATATCGATACCGACGGAAAATTATCAAAATGGAGCTTAACACTTAGTATGTGATTAAAATATAAATTTGGGGCACACTTATATGCCTTTTATTGAGAAAATATCACCAAAATCGATTTTTTTTCTAAATCACTGAAAATCCGCCATGGATCGGACATTATTTACCATGCATCGGACAGACGATATTTCGATCGAAAAAATATCATACCTTAATCACAGTGCTTTAAAATCCTTGATATGGATATACTTTTATATTTTGTCTAAGAAATAAACCTCAACATAAATTAAATTGACGATATCGTTGCATAAATGTAGAAAGATTCAAGATGCTTCACTCTGCCATAGAAATGCTTTAAAATGCTTGTAATGCTGTAATTCGCGCCTTTGTCTCATGGGGCTAAGATAGTCTGGTTTGGAGAAATAAATTGAGTCAGATTCTAGACCTCATACATCTATAATTTATATTTTGACTGAAAATTTAGAGTTTTTATATATTTTCTTTTTCCGCAAAACACGGCTGTAGTTTGGATTCTGTATGAAAATGGTAGTGATCACTTTTGCATCGGATAGTGTCCGATGCATGGTTAATTTGTGTCCGATGTTCGGAGAAATAAACATACTTGTAAAAACTTGCTCTAAAAAGAATAATACAAACATTGAAATGCATTTACCAAAGTCTGAGTTGTTCCAAAATTGCATTATCATAAATTTCTGGTTATTCGCCTTTGATGATGTAAAATAAGACGTAACTTAAAGGCCATTCTCGGAGTATTTTTAACACAATATGATAAAAACAATCGATATCATTTAAAAATTTAAATCTACAGCTTCAAATTAGAAACAAATAAATACACAGAACTCTTAATTTGAAAAAGGGTGTATTGCCTAAAGTTGTCCGAAGCAAGGTATGTGTTCGATATATGGTTAAATCACCCATCATATTGTTGTGGTGGCTAGATGATCGCCACTTGCCAGATAGTTCAGTTGAAAAAGCCCCTCACTGGAGATTCAGGGGACCCTGGTTCGAATCACAGTCTGGGCCGTCGGATTTTTCTCTTCACCTGTTACATTATGTAGACAAGTTAGAATATATTTAACTTTAGAATGATTTTTTGTGTGAAGAATGCTTTCTTTCATTACTTATTTTTCTTAAGTTTCAGGCCCAGACTTACAATTTAAAATTGGTAAGTATTGGTTGATTTTACATGTTAGTACCTGGCTTATTTGAAAACGCTTAATATTTTATTGTCATTTTTTCGTTAAAAGAATATAATTAAAATACTATTAAGATTTTTTTTCTATTTATCCATGTAGATTTTACATAGAGTAATTTTGCGCAGTGAAATAGTTTTTGCAGCCCCCCCCCCCCCCCCCCCCCCCCCCCCAAAAAAAAAAAGATAAATACGAGGGTTGATCCAAAAGTTCGTGGAATTTCTTTCTAAAATTTTATCGTAATTTGATGAAATCAATCAACAGGCATATTTATAATATAGAGTTATAATGCAACAATATTGGAAAATTTCACCACTTTCAAATTACCAATAAGGTCACACGAGCTTTCTGAAAATGGATAGTTGGGAAACCCGGGGGAGACTTCGACGTAACGTCAAGTTAGATATGTCACGTCACGGTATTGAAGCGTATCGCCCAGAAGTCCAGTTATAATACGTAATTCTACAAAATGCTGCCATTTTCTCTATTTTTTTTTCTCAAGAAAAGCCTGGGTATCCTCTCACACCAACTTATCTCAATTTTTTACTCATATTTCAAAATACTACCTATCTTTCTATAAGATGTTCCAATTTCAGTAGCAATGTCAAGAACAGTACGGCAGCCGACAACGTCCATTAACGCTTTTAATTTGTCTAGGGGGATACGTTCTTAAACAGAGAATCTATAAAGCGACCACACTTTTTATCAACGTCCACGGAAGTTCTATTTTTCTTAAATTTCTTATGCCACTGGAAAACCAGCAACTAAATACACTTTCCCCAAGCCTATATCAATAATATACGCGTTTAAGATAGAGTGATCCCGGGGTTTTCACAAAACGTGTGACTTGACTGAAATTTTACGTTATCTAACAACTTAAAGATGAACAATTAATCATCAACTTATAAACTAAATATCTATTAAAAACACTTAAACTCTCACACAAAGGTTCATAAAAGATCAAGCAATCGTAATAATGACATACTTTTCGTTTTATATACCACATAAGGCGATTTAATTCTTATTTCACGTATTAAGAATTAAAATGATAATAAACGCGTTAATGTCTCCCCCGCATTTCCAAACAACCGTTTCTATAGCAACTGCCATAAAGTTACTGTCCAAGATATTTAAAATGTTTTTTAATTTAAAATATTCATTAAGTATCTATATTATCATTTGTAATTTTCAACCCATTCTACTAAAAAATAAATAAACCATGAAGAAATTCCACGAACTTTTGGATCAACCCTCGTAAAAATCAATAATCAATTAAGTATTGTGATTTATATCATCAAAGTGGGTCATATATAACAAATATTTTTGTCCACGAAAGAAATAGACCAAGCTTATCCTTAAAAAACTAACATTTCTTCATTATTAACTAAATTTAACACCAGAAACCCCCACTTTTGTTTTTTTTTTTAATTTTACGAATATAAGAGATACATTTGATCATTCTACTTAATAAACAAATAGGTTTAGACTTTAAAATAATTTTATTGCTTGTTCAGTGTTTAATGTCAGAAAATTTACCATTTTGTGGGTGCATAAAGGTTAAGTAGTTTTTTTATGAGAAATAGTTTGATTTTTTTTTTTTGGGGGGGGGGTCACAATTCTAATTGTCTTTTCAAGAGTTGACTGTATTTGGTTCCATGATTTATGTAGATAAAGACTAGTGATGACAGTACAAAGGGTCTAATTAAATGGTTATTGCGCCAAAAGATGCGATATGACCTCCATTTTTTTGTTTTACTTTTAATTAGGGTATGTATGCAGATAACATGACAAAAAAATTGTAAAGACTTTTAAAAACAGAATCAAACTTCATTGAATGCCAATATTTACAGATAAAAACTGAATTTGGTTCAATAAGAATTAACAATATTATTGAGATTTAATTTTAACCGGGGTGCTTAATTAAGCCTACTAGTGTTTTGTCGTTAGTTCACTGAACTAAAGTCGCTAAGATATTCCTTTTCCAATGGAACGCTTGGATCATGTTTCTTCTATAACAAATAACGCCTAAAGTATTGACTATAGGCAAGCAAAACGCCAAGAAACTCTTCTATATAGAACGTTTAAAATAGGTTACTATTATTTTTTTCATAGTATACTGAGTAAACTGGGTTACAAAAATCTTAAAGGATTTTGAATCTCTTTTTAAGACACAACCAGAAAGATGCTGAACGAATTTGAAAAGGAAATCCGTTCTCTTTTTGTCAAGACGCGAGCAAGTGAAAAAGTAATGGAGGTACTTGAAGGAAACAGATGTGTTTTTCTTATTGGAAACCCGGGAGATGGAAAAACAACTCTAGCTAAACACATTCTAGTAAGTCTACAGAAAAGGGGAATGATGCCTATTCAGATATTATCTTTCAAGAATTTTTATGAAAAAATGCCGGGGTGTTCAAAAATGGTAATATTTCTTGATGATGTGTTCGGAGTAAGGTGTCTGTCAAAGAAAGAACTCCACTACTTTACAGTTCAAAGAGATCTCATACAGGGTTATCTCTCTAATGATGACAAAAGAAGTGGTAACATGTTGATAGCAACATTAAGGAATGATATTTTTAGAGAATGTGAAAACACAATTACAAACAGTGAGTTCTTCAAAAGCTCCCTCTTTAATATGTCTGGGACAGATTTTAAAATAAATAGAGATGAATTTGCAAATTTTGTATCAACCTACGCTTTGCAAGATATTATTCTGTCCGTTGATGAAATTTTAGAGAAAAAGAGCCTTGGTTATTCAATTGGAATTCCCCTATGTATGAAAATATTAAAGAACATTGTCAAAAACAAAGTCAATATAGCTGACATTTTTGAACACCCTATGAAATATTTACAAGAAGATATCGAAATAAGAATTAAGGAGAAGGAACACAAAACCGCTGTTTTGATTTACATTCTTCTTTGCGGAGGGAGCATAGAGACTGGAATCTTGACAAACCCGTATAAAGACAGGAAACGAAAATCAAAGGCTTTACAGATGATGGAATTAGAAGGAACGAAATCCTCAATGATAAGATTTCACAATTCCATAAAATTTTATGAAGGATCATACATTGAATTTGATGATGTAGAGGACGTTTACAAATTTACACACAGTTCCGTAAAAGAAAGTATTTTTCTATACATGAGTCAATATTATCTTGAAGATATTATTAGCGATTGTGAACCCTCGCTGTTGTTACCTCTATACACTAGTAAGAATTGCACCAATGCAATTTTAATCGACACCAGTTTGTTCACAGATCTCATAGATAGAATCAATAAGATTTTAAAAGGAAAAAAGGCTTCCGAATATAAGTCAGTTTCTTTAATGTCAATTTGGAATGATGAAGACTTTAGAAAGGATATCATGCAAAATGAAGAATGGAAACAGAAATTGGTAGACAGCATTGATGAGAAAGAAGATTCAATGTTAGTGCATTTTTCAGGAGCTGGAAACTTTAATTGCGTGAAACATCTGTTATCATTTTCTACAGAAAAACAAAGATATAAATCACTTAACAGGGCCTGCACTTATAATCATATAGATATTGTGGATCTTATTTTAGAAACAAATGTTAAATACAATCTCAAAACGTGTTTCCATGCAGTGCAAAGCGGAAATATTAAAATGCTTTTCCGTTTTACTGACAAAGTAGATCTCAAACATATATCATTTTCACATAATTCACAGTTGTGCAATTTGAGAGGGGGTTTGCTTCAAGAAATCTGCTTATCCGGACAAAATCACCTTTTGGAACCTGTGCTTGAACGCTACCCTTCACTGATAAATGTACTAAATGAAAAAGGTGGGAACGTCCTTCATTTTGTTGCATATGCAGGACAAATAGATATCTTTGCAAAATTAATAAAAAGGGGATCTGATCCATACTCTAGAGATTATGATGGTTTCACTATACTTCATTATGCTTGCTTGAATGGTAAGTTAGATATGGTAACATACATCAGTGAGACCTATCCTAAGTTATTGACAAAGGGTTTTGATAACTATTATGGGTGGCCTTCTCTCCGCTTCGCAGCACTATCGGGAAATATTGAGTTATATGAATACCTTGTAGAAAAAGATCTAGATGTTAAAAGAAAAGAACAAAATGTTAAATCAGTTCTACATCAGTGCTGTAGGAATGGTAAGTTAGAAATGTGTAAGTACCTGGTCAACAAACACCCTGAAATACTAGAAATCAGTGACGATGATAGGTCAACTGTGTTACATGACGCAGCCTGGGGAGGAAATGTTGATGTCTTCAATTTTCTAATAGACAAAGGATTAGATGTTAAAAGTACAGCACAAAATGGAAAAACTGTCTTACACCAGTGCTGTAGGAATGGTAAGTTAGAAATGTGTAAGTACTTGGTCAACAAACACCCTGAACTTCTAGAAATCAGTGACAATGATAGGTCAACTGTGTTACATGACGCAGCCTGGGGAGGAAATGTTGATGTCTTCAATTTTCTAATAGACAAAGGATTAGATGTTAAAAGTACAGAACAAAAT